AATTAATTCTTCAAAGTCAGAACAAAAAAATCAAAGAAAATTTATGCAAGAAAGCAGCACCATAGAAGGAATACAACATCAGTTATGCAGACACAGTCATAAATGTGTAACCAAAGTATGTGGGATGGACAGGGCTGAGCTGATCATTCAAGAGTGGAGAAAGGTATGATTGACATCAAATTCACCAGATTCTACCCCTCATAAAGGTGAGATTAGTGGTCAAGATTCAAACCCCCCGTAAAGGAGAGATTAGTGGTCCAGATTCAAACCCCCCGTAAAGGAGAGATTAGTGGTCCAGATTCAAACCCCCCGTAAAGGAGAGATTAGTGGTCCAGATTCAAACCCCCCGTAAAGGAGAGATTAATGGTCCAGATTCAAACCCCCCGTAAAGGAGAGATTAATGGTCAAGATTCAACCCCTCGTAATGGTGAGATTAGTCATCCAGATGCAACCCCCCCCGTAAAGGAGAGATTAGTGGTCCAGATTCAACCCCTCGTAATGGTGAGATTAGTCATCCAGATGCAACCCCCCGTAAAGGAGAGATTAATGGTCCAGATTCAACCCCTCGTAATGGTGAGATTAGTCGTCCAGATTCAACCCCCTGTAAAGGTGAGATTAGTCATCCAGATTCAAACCCCCCGTAAAGGAGAGATTAATGGTCAAGATTCAACCCTTCATAATGGTGATATTAGTCATTAGTAAAGGAGAGATTAATGGTCAAGATTCAACCCTTCATAATGGTGATATTAGTCATCCAGATTCAAACCCCCCGTAAAGGAGAGATTAATGGTCAAGATTCAACCCTTCATAATGGTGATATTAGTCATTCAGATTCAAACCCCCCCGTAAAGGAGAGATTAATGGTCAAGATTCAACCCTTCATAATGGTGATATTAGTCATCCAGATTCAAACCCCCGTAAAGGAGAGATTAATGGTCAAGATTCAACCCTTCATAATGGTGATATTAGTCATCCAGATTCAAACCCCCGTAAAGGAGAGATTCAACCCCTTCATAATGGTGATATTAGTCATCCAGATTCAAACCCCCGTAAAGGAGAGATTAATGGTCAAGATTCAACCCTTCATAATGGTGATATTAGTCATCCAGATTCAAACCCCCGTAAAGGAGAGATTAATGGTCAAGATTCAACCCTTCATAATGGTGATATTAGGATTCAAACCCCCGAGGAGAGATTAATGGTCAAGATTCAACCCTTCATAATGGTGATATTAGTCATCCAGATTCCCCCCGTAAAGGAGAGATTAATGGTCAAGATTCAACCCTTCATAATGGTGATATTAGTCATCCAGATTCAAACCCCCGTAAAGGAGAGATTAATGGTCAAGATTCAACCCTTCATAATGGTGATATTAGTCATCCAGATTCAAACCCCCCGTAAAGGAGAGATTAATGGTCAAGATTCAACCCCTCGTAATGGTGAGATTAGTCATCCAGATGCAACCCCCCCCGTAAAGGAGAGATTAGTGGTCCAGATTCAACCCCTCGTAATGGTGAGATTAGTCGTCCAGATTCAACCCCCTGTAAAGGTGAGATTAGTCGTCCAGATTCAATAACTCATAAAGGTGAGATTAGTTGTCCAGATTCAACCCCCCGTAAAGGTGAGATTAGTCGTCCAGATTCAACCCCTCATAAAGGTGAGATTAGTTGTCCAGATTCAACCCCCCGTAAAGGTGAGATTAGTGGACCAGATTCAACCCCTGTAAAGGAGAGATTAGTTGTCCAGATTCAACCTCTTGTAAAGGTGAGGTTAGTGGTCCAGATTCAACCCCTCAAATAGGGGAGATCAGTGTTCGAGATTCTACCCCTCATAAAGGTGAGATTAGTCATCCAGATTCTATCCCTGATGAAGGTGAGATTAGAGGTCCAGATTCAACCCCTCATAAAGGTGAGATTAGTGTTCCAGATTCTACCCCTCATAAAGGTGAGATTAGTCATCTAGATTTTACCCGTCATAAAGGTGAGATTAGTGGTCAAGATTCAACCCCCCCGTAAAGGTGAGATTAGTGGTCCAGATTCAACCCCTCGTAAAGGTGAGATTAGTGGTCCAGATTCAACCCCTCGTAAAGGTGAGATTATTGGTCCAGATTCAACCCCTCGTAAAGGTGAGATTATTGGTCCAGATTCAACCCCTCGTAAAGGTGATATTAGTGGTCCAGATTCAACCCCTGGTAAAGGAAAGATTAGTGGTCCATATTCTACCCCTGGTGAAGGTGAGATTAGTGGTCCAGATTAAACCTCTTGTAAAGAAGAGATTAGTCCTCCAGATTATACCGCTAGTAAAGGATATCTAGATAAAACCTACTAAGTTTATAAATATATAACTGAATTCTTACACAAGAGATTAAAGAGAGAGAAATCTTTTCACATAGCAGCTGGGATAGAGGAGTAAGACAGTAGGATAGGAAAACCCTAGATACCTGACACATATTCCAGTTATGTAAGACTCCAACTCTTAACTTTTTGGTAGGGATGGGGCAGACATTTTAGAAATACTATCCAGTGTTCTGTTACAGATAGAGGAGTTCTATGTTGAATGTTTAAATATGGCCCATATTCTACACTTAAGGAGGGACAGGAAATTCATCAAATACATATTTTCTTTTTTCTGCAAGATTTGTGTCCCAATATGGGCCCCATTCCCAATGGCAAAGCATAAACATTTTCCCAATCAAAGCATTTAATTTCCAAAATAATTGTAATTCTGCTCTGGGTTCAGATTGTTTTGTATTCACTCCAGAAAAAAGAATTAGCGATACCGGAGAGAAGTAAACCTATAAATCATGGTTAAAATTCATTACTCTAACACTTCATTCCAGCTTTCAGATTTTGCTGCATTTTTTCTCAAAATTTAAATTCAAGGGCCATATTCCAAAAAAAAAATAAATAAGTAAAAAATCACCCTGTTAACTACAACCTAGGGTAATGATAGAGAAATTCTAACCAAGGAGAAAAAGTTTTTGAAATCTACTGAGACGTATCTAAAACAAGGCCCATAAGACAGATTTTATATACAGGATACATGAAGGAATAAAGGATAGGGAAATTTTACCAAAAATATAGAAAAAAAACTAAAGTAATGCTAGTTTGTTATTGGCACAAATCTCAATCTGAATATTTACATGTTCACCTAGTCTGCCAATTTTATTAAGTTATTAGTATAATACTTGATTGTCTCATAGCAAGGGTATGCATGCATGACACTGTTTTGAAAGATGGCAACATTGTTTATAACAAACATCTGCTGCCAAGTGTCACTGATAATCTGTTGGAATATTTCGCCCAATGAGAAAACTAGGACTGGTAGGTAGTAACAGCTACTTCCAGAGACTGTGACAATTGACTGAAACCGTAACTGCAATATGTTTCGTCAAAAAACAAAACCAACAAAATTCAACCCTGGCCTCATTTTTTAACGATATCAAAATTAAACATTTGAATTCTACCCAACAGGATATGCCATAAGTAAGTCCAGTGTTTCATCATAATGAAGGGGGTTGCCACAGCTAAGTCGGTAGCGCAAGAATTTTTCAATCGAAGATGAAAATCTAAAGATGTGCTTCAAATTGCAGTCACTAATTAAACTTAGTCAATGACAGTCTATATTGTATTGATCACGAAGCCAAGATCTCTATCAGCAATCTTATGTTATGACATTTGTGTCCTTGACAAATATTTTGTCCAAGCTGTTAGAGATGATAAGGTAAGGGCCTTCCACATGACATTCAGTGAGGTAGCCACTGTGCACCAACTACAAAAAGACCCTGCAGCCTCAATGTGGGTGAGCTGGCTGCACAATACATGGTAATGAACATTTAACAATTAAGCTGTATATCTAAACTTTCATAAGTATTTGTGAAAGTGATTTTATATGAAAATACCAAAAGTGAAAAGCATTGTCCATTTCAACATTTCTCTCAAGTAGTGTGTCTGAAATTTTGCCTTTACAACAATGCCTAATGCTGGTGCTTATATGTGTAGAAGTTGAGAGTACAGGTCAGTGTAATTACTAACTAACCTTGGCAAGTGGGAAGTTCCCTTCAGTCGAACTGTGGAGTGTCTAGCTATAGACAGAAGATTTATAGGATGTTTTTTGTTACTCCTTTCTATTACAGTTTTGGTATCACAGACTACTCTAAGGGTAGAAGCTGTAGGAGATTGAGATGCTTCCTTGGAGATATTGAACCTGGGTTATTGTAGTCTTCGGGGTGGAAGACTTTAAGAAGAGCAGAAGTCGAGAATACAGGTCACCTAATCTGCCTTGGCTAGTGGGAATTTCCCTTTAGTCAAGTGTCCAACTTGAGACCAAAAGGTCACTAGTTCGAACCCTAACGATGGCAGGTTGTTTCTCTTTACTCCTTTATATTACACATGAATGTCAATATATATAATCTAGTGTACATTTCTATACATTCCTGAATGGTTATGTTGGTTCTATCGTCCACTGAAAGGCTGAAAAGCTGTGATAGTGGAAGTAAAACCAGATAAACGAATACAGGTTGGAGACATTCAGTATATATATATATATGACACTGTACATGTAAATGTCAAGTTCACAACTGTAGGCCTTACTGTTGGTCTCAAATCTTTTGGAGATTCTGAGTTGAGATAGCTAGTTAGAACCTGACTTCTATGAAATGATCAAGATGTACATATTCTGTCGAGGCATGGTAAGATCAGTAAAAGCATACAATTGGTAAACTTGGATATAATAACAATACGTCTAGTTCAGTGTGAATCAGGTTATAATATTCACGTCACAAGCATCAGTGGGACAGGATGCATTACGAAACAAAATAAAAAACAGCTGGAAGCTAAGTACCATCTCTCCCTGCCCCCAGGGGACCAGTCGCTTCCCCGGGGAGCTAAGAAGTCGACACGGAAATGTGACTCATTACAAACAAAGAGAGGTGCTTGTTTGGTGACATCGGGTTCATCTGTCATACAACCGGTTCGTCTAACTTAGAAAAATATACTTACCGTCTCTCATCTTAATTTTCTCAGCTTGGCATTTATTGTCCGAGGCCATCTGGAGGTTGTCTGAGATTCTATATCATCTCCATAAAACACATTCACAATAATCACATAGTGTTTCGTCCCTTTACTTCATTTCTTCTCAATACACACTTCGCCATTTTATGACATTTTGGTAGGCATCGAAATTTTCTTACAAACTGTGTAATATTTTAGAAAGGTTCCGAATGAGCTTGCACCAAAGTCTCCGCGAAGCTTGAAATAGAAAGTAGGCAGTAAAATTAGGCTATGTGCAGTGTTTTTGGTTGTAGACGAATACTTATCCGTGCTTTCAAATTGAAAATTAAACGCGTTGATGTAAACCGTGCATTTCGTGTGGTTACACCCAACTGTACTGTACAGGTATTTTATTTTTAGGTGCAAGGGGAAGAACTCCTACACTTTGTTTTACATTATTTTGTATGACTGACATATTGTGAGGCCAAGAGTACACCGGGAGTAGCCATTATTGATTAACAATAGGAGTTAGTTGCCAATGGTGGGACACGTGCACGAGCACAGGTTCTAACATTAGCAACACCCTTCAGTATTGGTGAAGTACTTTATAAAAAAAAAATGAGGAAAGCAAATTTGGTAATGAACAAACATGCTGCATACCTATGATTACCTATTTAGAATTACGTATTCCACACATGGAGTTGAATATATATAACACCATTTACATTTGTTAAAATCAACCGGTTCAACCTTTTAAATGTACATAGGATCAAAACAATGACATGTGACTTATATTTTAAAAATATAGAAAATTGATATTGAATATAAACAGTTACATAGTTTCAAATAGTAATTTCAGGAGAGGATACCAACCAACGCACATGGGGATAAACACTACAAGTTTCATGTTTAAAATCAATCAGGTACGAGGCCGCCCGCGTATGGAACAATCTCCCAAACAACCAAATGATGTCAGACCGGTAGAAAATTAAAGCGTGTCCAGGTGACTTTAACATAGCTTGGAGGACCCAATTTGACATTGCAAACCATGGTCGTGCCATTATTTTATTATTAATATTTTTTATATGTTTTTTATATAAGGTATATTTGAGAGTAAGTTTTGCACGCGCTGAGATCTTGTTTTGTTTTTATTATGACATGATATATTAGTCTCTGTTATATCCTAGTATCGTTGTTACTACGTATTGATATGCTTTGTCTGTGATGATTTATAGAGCTCGCCTTTCGTTTAATCTTCTGTTGTAATTGTGTATATTGTTTAACTGTCATTCCTGCATGAATTTTTGTTGTGTTCATTTTACACATGTTTGTCGATGTACAATCACTTCAGATCTTTTGTTGTATCTTTGAAATATTCGACATCAAATAAAGACTATTGCACTGTGTTGTGATTTTATTGGTTTTAAATTAGGAAAAAATAAATTAAAAACAATAACCAAAAGCTGCCGCGTAAACAGGGATTGGTGAGCATGTTCAAATCCGTTTTATAAAACGGATTTTATGGGTTATCAAACTTGTGATAAATGCCAAAAGTCACATATCGTTTTTTTTAGAATAAAGATCACTGGTAGTCTCAGCGGGATCGTTGACATTTTTAAGAAAATTCACTATTCTTTTCCAACATTTTAGAACCTGTGATAACATGAATATAATGTTTCAGTCGATAGTAGCTGCTTGACTTGCTTGTTGAATACAAGTGATGCCGAGATCAACAGTAAAATGTACCAGAAATTTTCTCAAGAACAGATGATTTGAGAGACGCAATATTCAGTTATTGAGCGGCTGTTTAGAACATACAGAGTTTTACCATAATTCAAATGATTAAAAACGCGTTGAATACTTTAGTGCGATGGTCCCAAATCACACTTGACCAAACAAATAGTAATATTGTGATATGGTCATTCGTGAGAAGGCATTCCATTGGTCACATCATTGATTGGATGATGCGTCCACTTCCTGTTTTGAATCCATACCGAGCGCCATATTGGTAACCGTTTTGATTATTGATAATCTACAGTGCGGAATATCCAGTAGATGAATGCCCGATTACTAATTGTCAATGGCATTTATTTGTATCATGAACTCCAGTTTGTTAAGTAATGTTTTAGAGAAATTTATTGTTTCTGATATTGTGTAATATTTAAAGACAATATAGATACTATTTTAGTTGCATCTTTTGAATGTGGTCTTAATAAACCACTTTTTTTGCATGTGGCTCCATCTTGAAGCGAATCCAAAAGGTGTGTTTTGAACCTTCGATTTTCAACAATCATCAACAATCGGTAATTATAACAACAGACAAAATGGCGTCGAATCAGGTGGGACCATCTTGAAGGAAAGTCATGGTCTGAATTGACGGAATATGGCAGGTTATTTGCTTTGTTTTGGATAAATAAATAAGTTGATTTATTGAATATTATTGTTACACTATTATGTCATTGTCAATATAATTGGTGACTTGTAATCTAAAAATCATATTCCAATCCATCCTCTCCCACCAATACAACTTTTCTTTAAACTCTAAATCCGTCTCTAAATTCCTAACGCTAACACCAGCGAAATTATCTCTAACTTCAAATCTCAACTAGTTTTAATTTCTATCGCGTGAAATTAATGTTTAATTTTTCTTAGAATTCCATACGCTGGTACTAATTACGTTCTCCTATTTCCGCCAGTTCAATGTCAACTGAACACTCTATTACCAATACAGAACTAAGGTAAACCCATCATATCCACACATACAGCTTCTACACTAACAGTCTCCCATATCTCTACATTAACGTGTTGTAATTATCAACAGTTCTACTACATGCTTATCCTCAGTTTGACACTATAAATCTACACAAAACTTAGAATAAACTTATCCACTAAACTACAATTCTACACGATATCTGAACTTTTCTAATTTTTTCTATTTCTAGTCCTTACGGTGTTCCGTTATCCTCACTAACTCGCTCTCATTGAATTCCGTAGTCTATCTGTCCAATTTGGAGACTCGTGTTACAATATAACTGTTCCAAATTCCTCCAAATCCTACCCACAATTCCCCATTACTTTGACCCCGAGGTCAGTATCGTCGGACAACACCCACATCTTATGCCACTACAGTCTACACCTGACTTTCCAGAGTACAGACGGTCACTTCCGTTAATCTATATGTACAGCAAATATATATATGTCTACTTTTATCTTTATTCAAATGAAGATGTTTAACTGTCGAACAAATTATTGACAATTTAAAATTCGCGACACGTTAATGCATAACACATGTTTACTCATAGCAGGGACGCCTATAGTTTTGACGTCCCATCAACATCTATGGTCTTTTAGGACGGCCTCCCGGTGTATGTGAGATAGGCGCTGGTGTTGAGTTGGGAACGTCACTTCATGGTAATCTGCTTGTGTTAATATCCCGACTTTTCGCACCCGACCCGACGTTTCACACCCAGCGCAAAAACTGTTCGCACTAACTATGTTTTATTATTTATATAGGTATACCTACTTGTAATGTGTATAGATCTATGCACGTTACGCTCTTTCATGTGATTTATTTCACTTTATTCTCGAGCAGAAAGTGAAGTTTGCTATTTAATCTACAGTTACCTCCCGTTAACCATGGTTCCACTGTTCTATCATCGGCTCTGAACGTTTTTGGAATATTGGGCATGGTCAGTGACTTCTGCTATTTCAATGACTTTTAATTTTTCTTAATGATGTCCTTTTCAACTTTTGTTTCAAAAAGATGGATTTTTAAGAAACACCTTGTTGTTAACCTTTTTTGTATTGACCAATCATACTTAGGTTCAGACATATTTGATTATTTACAGGTTTTCCAGAGTATAATTATTTTTGTGCATAAAACGATAACTTGCATTACCTCCATCATCAGTAAAGTTTGCTTGTTTTTACAGAGTTTAACGTCCTCCCAACAGCCTTAATCATATGAGAACGTGTATGGAAAGTGACACCAAGAGTGGGAAATACAGCTTAGAAAGACGGAAAAAGACAAGAAGAAAGTACCAGCATCTCAATTCTGAAGTGGTCTGTTGACAAGCGACAGATCTACATATACTACTTCATATACATAACAGTTAACATATAACACACATAACTTAACTGGTCCTCATGTTGTAATGTGTTTAATGTTAGGTTAGGGCTGTGATTAGGCTAAGGAGTCGTCTTCTAAATTACAGTTTCAGAACAGATCAGGCAGAATAAACGTGTATCCAAATCTCTCTCATCACTTTCTACATTTCCCCTTTTTACTCAATTTCCTGTCTTTTATCGTCCGCTGAAAGGCCGAAACGCCGTGATTAGCCATCCATGTAGTTCTGAAATGTAGTTCGACTGGCGAATTAAGGGAAGAACTATGGTGTGATATCAGTAATATTAGTAATATTTACGTTCAGTGTATACGTTTTAGACGTTAGCCAATTAGTTCATATGTTCTGATTGGAGGTAACTTTTCTTATGACATCTGTAACTCCAATCTTGAAGAGTTCCGTGTCAAGCCTGTAACGATAGCCAGTCATTTCATGTTCTGATTGGAGGTAACTTATGACTTGTGTAACTCCAATTTTGAAGAGTTCCAAGTCAAGTCTGTAACGGTAGCCAGTCATTTTATGTTCTGATTGGAGGTAACTTATGACTTGTGTAACTCCAATTTTGAAGAGTTCCGAGTCAAGTTTTTAAAATTATTTTTTTCGAATGATAATGTCATATTATAAATGAAACATTGCAGCCATGGTAATTATACTGTATCTCGTAAGATAATGAAAAGGACATTGTTACTGACAACTTGAATCACATGCCCTAATGTTCATATCATGATTAATTTATGTCTTAACGAATGTGTTGTGGTACTAGAATTTTCATACTGGAAGAAATAAAAAGTATATATCACAGTCGAACTTACCAGGTCCTTATGCTGTTACGTGCTTAGTGTAAGCCTAGGGCTACAATTAGGCCAAGGGGCCATCCTCAAAATGATAGTATAAGAACAGGTTACGTAGTACCAACGACCCCTCTCTACCTCAACTCTGTATCCCCAATCTATCCCACCAGTAATAGTTAAATCAGATTGAATTAAAATATTATACACAGAAACAATGTCACTCTCACACTTT